TAAAGAAGTATGACTGTGCTTATTTACCATTACGTACACAAATAATTTCATCACATTAATCATTTCATTCAGCGAGTGAGTATAATACTTTCTAGGAATAAAAAGAAACCCAAGAACATAAATACTTATTTACCATTACATACAAATCATTTCATTCGCATTATTTTAGTCAGTGAGTATAAAAGACATTTAATACAGTCAGGCCTCGTTATAGTCACTCTCGATATAGTCACAATCACACTATTTTTTAACTCAAACTATTATAAAACATATAAAATATGACTTTATATAGTCACAACTTTTTATAATCACTAGATTATTGTTTCCCAAGCTGGAGATTATATCGAGGTTTGACTGTAATTTCTAGTGATAAATACCGCAAGCAAGTTCACAAACAAGAATATAAATACTAATTACCATTATGTTCAAATTCGTATTCTGATCAAATTTGCATCCTGTCAAATTTGCATTCTGATCAATTTCGTATCTTATCTAAATCAAATTCATATCCTGATCAAATTCATATTCTAGTCAAATTCATATCCTGATCAAATTCATATTCTAGTCAAATTCATATCCCAATCAATTTTATATCCCAATCAATTTTGTATCCAAATTAATTTCATATCTCATCCAATCTGTATCCTATCCATATTCGTATCCTGATCAAATTTCTATCCCATCCAATTTCATATCCTATCCAATTTTGTATCCCATCCAATTTCATAACCTGATCAAATTTGTATCCTAATCAAATTCTTATTCTGATCAAATTCACATCTTAATCAAATTCATATTACAGTCAAACCTCTCTATAACACACACGTGAGATACAAAAATGCGTGATTGTAGAGAAGTGTGACAGTTATAGAGGTCAAATTTATTATACTTAATAGTAGTTTGTCTTAAAAAAATATGTATATTTAGAAAATGTGCTTATATATGAGGCGACTATAGAGAGATCAGACTGTCTTTGCTAATATCTTGCATTTTTGCGAAAGCATCAAACCATTTTAGATTTAGTAAAAATCATTAATAATGTAGGATGCTAAGAGGAAATTTTTATAGCAATTGCAAATTTAGTTTCTTACTAGCACTTTTAACGAGGTTTTAACAAGGTTTTTGAAAAAAAATACGAAAAGTTGGATTTTTTTCAAAAAAACCTTGTCAAAAGCTCGTTAATAGCGCTAGTAAGAACCTAACTTTGTGAATTATCATGAAAATATCCTTTTAAAATTATTAAGTGACACTAAATCTAGAATATTTTGATGCATTCGCAAAAATGCAAGATTTTAGCAAAGCGTATATCTAATTTCATATTCCAATCAAATTCGTATTCTATCTATATTCATATTCTGATCAAATTTGTATCCTGATCAATTCACATCCCGATCATTTTATATCCTATTCAATTTTGTATCTAGAGATGTAATTAGCTTGATTATCTTGGCTTGTGAAAATTATAGCCAAAGCTTAAGCTATCATTTTAGTAGCTATTATTTAAGCTATAACTATTATTTTTTAATCTCCACCGATTGAAAAGTAACTCAGGTCAATCATGATGTATTTGTAATAAAAATATCCTGAGTAGTTGGGTATTAGTGGAAACGAAGTTTCCTCTTGTACACATACGGATCAGGGTATTTTTACTAAATACCCCGTGATCTTGATATAGTAATCGGGTATTTTATATTAAACTAAAATTTATTGATATAAAGGAAATTACATAATATAATACGTATTTTGTTGATGGCAAAAAGTATATGAAAGTACATTACGGTAGAATATATTATATATTTTATTTGTAAATTATGATTTGTTCAATAAAAAATCACCAGTTGGTTAAGATAATTCTTCTATATTTATTTTATTGAATTTCTCTATATTTTCTATTGTCTATATCTGATATTATTTTATTGAATTTTTTCTATATTATTTAATTATGAATCCACAAAGTTTCGATTTTTCTAAGTCAAGAGACTTTTGAGCGAATACTTCAAAGAAGGTATTAATAATTTGGAAATGCAAGTTTATAAAATCAAAAATTTTTATAGAATAATCCTGAAGAAATTATTGAATTCACTCTGATTCTGATTCTGATTGATGTTATACACCAGGAGAAAAAAAAATAGCGAGAACGTTCTATTTAATTACTACGTATTAAATTGAATCCATATGTTACACAAAAAGTAATCGGCTAAATGGTGGGGGTAATCAGTTGGGCGCCAAGTTTAATATGTAATGTTTAATAATTTAAGGGATCTTTAATCATATTTTATGTTTTAGTGACAAAAAAAGGTCCAAAATTAAAATTATCGTTACTATATAAATTAAAGCAACATTTTAAATTCAGATATATACGTAACAAAGTATTTTCTTCTTTTCTAATATATCACTCCGTTTTACATCATTTTTTAATAAATTGACATCATTTTGTATTGTTTGATTTACTATTTGATTTATCAAACCAAACATTGTTTCTTTATATGAATTTGACGAAAATGGGCAAAGAAAGCAAGCCTCATCCTATTATTAATAAATACAACGTAGATGGAGGGAAAACCATTTGTTCAATTTGCAAAAAAGAATATGATTCGCCTTTGAACATTTCAACAGCGAAAAATCATTTTAGAAAAAACCATCTTAATATCTGGAATGAATTAAAGTCAGATCGTAAAGGTGGAAAAACTAAATCTCGCCATAAAGTTTATGATTATTTTTCAGTAATTGATTCCGGAGAATATCAGTGTAATTTATGTCCTCAAAAGTATAATGAGCCTCACTGTAACGAGTTAAAGTATCATTTTTCTCGTTATCATAAGGAAATTTGGAATTTTATTAAAGGAAAAAAGAAAGAACGTGGTGATAGAATCATTCAAGAAAATTATAATGAAGGCATAGCTGAAAGCTCTCAAACTGACTTTATGAAAAACGATGAAATTCCGGATCATGATACTATTAACATTTCTAATTCTAGTAACAATGATGATAACGATGTAGAAATGGCAGAGAACATGAAAAAAGTTAGTCTCATAGAATCTATTGACATGGAAAATGAAAATACGGAAGTTAAGATTAAAAGAGATGAAATTAATATTAAAGGAAAAGCAAAGGTTAATTTTAAGTGATTTACAGCATTTTTTTATCGGTGATGTCAGGTTTTTATGCATTTATAAAATTGTATGGTTGAAAATAACTTTAAGAGTAGGTGAATCAATTATTATGATAGTGATATTTGATCATCGGATATTATATAAAATTATTTCTTTTGTTGCAGTTTGTTGAACATTTCAAAGCATAAAATGACTTAGATCATTTAACAAATATTAATCTAGTACCTAACTATATAGAAAAGAATTCAATATTTCCATTCACATTATGTATAATCACACCATACTTCAAATATATATGTTGTATTCCTGATGGGAATCTGCCCGATTCAGAATCGGGGCAGCCACCAAAGGTCTGTAAATTTTATTATGGTGTTGTGGTTTAAATTATACACATAATATTTGATGTTGGTAAACCTTTTTTACACCATTTATTTATGCATTATTATAAATGTGATAATACAACCATTAATGTTATTATCGTAATTAGCATTTTATGCATGTAATATTTATTAAAATCAAACTGGTATGCTAATTACAAAGCAAAAGCACCAAGAATCTCAGCAGCTTCAAATGTATTTTTTTTTTCTGCAACCACAGAATAAATCCTTCCTAAAGAAGGTACATTTCTTTGTGCGTACATTCTTTGAAGCCCATATATAATATTACAAATTGTTTGTTGAGCCCGAATACCTGGCGTATTAACAATATAGAAAAGTGAATTTGATTGAGGCTGACCACTACCTGGAAAAGGATTACAGCCTTGAAATGAGCGAATATCTGTCGAACAAAATATTATTATGTAATATTAAAGTTGATACAAATTGAACTAATTAATATACATACAAGTCAACACAATATTTTTTTGAATATTTCGTTGAGCTAGTCCTGTTTCATTCCATTCGATTATGAGAAGAGGATCCCCATAATAGATTGGATTATTATCATCATCGCTGTCAAAATCATTATCTGAACTATGTTTTGCTCGAACAATATCTGCCCATTCCATAACATATTTTTTGGTATCACCATCGAGTGACTCCAAGATAGCTGGCAATTTTTGCATTTTCTTGCTAAAATTGCGATTTACAAGTTATTTTTCTTCTTTCATTTATTTGAAAATTTGATCAAAAATAATAATAATAATATAATAATAGTACAGTACCTGAAAATCCTAGAAATTAATTGACATATAATCCAGATAGGGATCCCAAAGACAAGTTAAATGAGAAAACTACAAATGATGGTGAAAGCAATAAAAGGAGAAAATAATATAAACATGAAATAGAAGCAAATGTATAAACAATTGTAATAAAATTTAATATCCATATTTTTTTTTTAATTATCGTAATAAAAACTTGCACAATTGGCTTTGCGAATTTATAAAATACTAAGAATTTGACTACTAACGTTGTACGTAATACTTCGACCGAGTCAAGATAGATTATCGACGTAGATCAGAGTGTCAATTTTTTTGCATTTGATTAAATCAATGAATAAATACGTAATTCAGCTCAGTCCGATGACTCAATTTTAACGAGTAATAAAATTCCTTATTCGATTTAACCTTTCTGATAATCACGTGCGGATCCCACCAGCCACTCAAACAGAATCATCCAGGGCGACCATCAAAAGTGCAGTAACGTGACTTGTGGTGCAGCCAAACCAAACTACACTCAACTTTATATACTAACGCTAATAAGCCACAGCTATTCACAAGAAAAAATATTTGCGATCCAACTTTACCACGAACAGGCCTACTTTCTTTTTTTTTCGGTTCAAAATTTAAAACTTAATTTCCGGCAAAATTGGAATTTTGAAGATCATCGGCCTAAATT